AAATCTGTAATGAGTAAATCAACTAAACATAGTGCAGCATATAAATGTGTCTGTCACTATTATATTATCTAGTCCATATGTTTTGATTTATCTAACATATACGGTATTTTACTAAGTTTATGATGGGTTTCAATATCGTAAAACAATTTTTGTTTGTGATAGCTCACAAACTCATACCAGAAGTATTGTAATGTTTCTGACTTGTAACTTGAACATTCATATGTAATCTTAGTATTTAATAAATTATGACTATTACAGCATTACAAATCAGTATGTCTATTTTATTTAATAACACTAAATTATTATCTCTATCCTCACAAGATAATTCTGCACGATATTTTAAAGTTGCATTCCACTCGCATACGCAGATGCAGAATATCTACCACTAATTATTGTGATTACTATGAATGATAATAAATTAGATAAAATCTTGAAACATTGAAGTACTGAAGCAGCCACTAACTAATATAGAAGAGCTTTCATTTCACAATTCTGTTGAATATTAAAGTTTTCTTATGAACAGTACAAAATCCAGAACATGTACATTGCTTAGGGGGTCAAGGAGAGATTCTTTAAAGGTCGTACAAACTTTAAATATACTTGTTGATATAGATATAGATATATATTGCACTACTTTTATCGATACAGAACTGTCATTTATTGGCGGTTACCTCCGTGTCCTACTCACTTTACTTAAACAAGCTGGCCACAAAACAATGATCAATAAGCTACAAAGAAGATGTGTTATAGTTATCAAAATAAACAAAAGTTTTATATATTACATGACCAACATTGAAATTAGGGTCAAGGGGAAATACACTATATTTCGAAGGACGCCCACAAAATGGCATTGATCTCAGCTCGAGCTCAGTGAATTACGACAAATTACCTCTTCGAAAGCGGTTGTCAGGAGCCCGGTTTCCCAGCGCGAAACGCCTGCAGATCCGCCACTCTTGGCCCGCTTGGGAGGCATCTTAATTGCTGTAGGTTTTGATATCGAACTTGCCTCAAAACGCAGACACTATGGTACAGCTATCGAAACATTAAGTGATCGAGAGGTTTTGTGTTCAGGTTGCCAAACAACAGTGCACAGGCTTTCAGAATGAGATTGGTTCAAATGATTGTGATTCTTAGAGGATTCAACTAAACCTTCGCCATGAAATTAGGATTTGTGTGGATTCTATCTCTTCAATCGTTTCAAGTAATTATTTATCCTAGATAAATAACAAGACTATTTTACCAAATTGGGCGAAATTACGAAACTGTGCAACTTTTAGGCGTTCAAATAAAATTCCGAATATCTGTACAGAATCGGTTATTAACTCCAACGCGGTTTGTTGCTAAGCTTGAGTTTGGTGGTTTATTTACTCCAGTGCAGATCATGTCTCGGATTTGTCACGAGAGGGCTAAGTGCGTGAATGTCGGCGTTTGATTGGATAATAAAAATAATTGAGAACGAAACATAGCAAAAATTCAGAGTGTGATTCGAGTTATTGTGATTGTTATAAATATTATATCATATTAAAAAACGAGGTCGCAAAATATCTACAGCCCACTTATTACGCAAATCAAATTGAAGTGTGAAGTCAATCACAAAATAATTCAGAAACATTTAGTAATCAAAGACAATTGCCAACGTGCTGCGCGATCATTTCCTGTTTGGCCGACGCATCGGTTTTCGCGTCACTTCCTTGCAACCTCTTACATATCATAAACTACATGGCCTCTACAAAACGTTATTCAGATTCTCAACACATTTCAAACACTTACCTGACGTTTCTCACTCTTTGAAGGCTGACGCGGTTAACATGGGCTGATCCGGAATCTAGTTCTTTAAAAAGTGTTAGTACTGTGCCAATTGTTTTGCAATTGTTTTAAACCCGAGCTGTTCTTTTATAAACAAGCCATACATGCAGTCCCCGTTAGTTATCAAATTTAAGATATATAATTTTGTTTTTTGTATTATAATACATGTCAGGAGTTTGGATCCAGAAGATGATGCTTCATTATGATAATTTTTTAACATTAAAATGATTGACATCTTGTATCTGATCGTCAGACGAGTACTTGTGCATATTGAGAAATATTGCCCTGGAACAGCATTAATTAAAACAAAATGGCCACCAGTCCGTCATTTTGAATACGTGTATGTATATAACATGATGTAAAACGAATATATGAAATTTGAACATAATCAGTCAAAGCATACAAAGATATGGCTTTAAGATAAGTGCAATCATTTAAAAATAAAAAAATAAAATGACGTGCATCAAGGTCCCATAATGCCCAACGTATGTATACTAAGTTTGTACAAAATGCCAGAAATACTTGATTTTTGATGATTTTTTAGCACAAAAATGGCCGCCGCTTAGCCATTTTGAATCAGATAGTCAAACCAATATAACTATGTCATGATTTATAATGAATATATAAAATGTGATCATAATCAGTCAAAGCATGACAGAGATACAGATACAGCACTAGAACCGCACTCATTAGAACACAATGGCCGCCAGTCGGCCGTTTTAAATTAGATCTGAAAAATAAAATGATAAAATGCATCAAGGTTCCATAATGTTCAAAGTATGTACCAAATTTGAACAAAATCCATCAATAAATGCTTGATTTCGATGATTGTTTAGCACAAAAATGGCCACCATTCGGCCATCTTAAATTAGATCGTGAAACAAATTAATGTGCGGGAACTATTAAAGACAGATATTACAATTATGCACCTTATGATAAGGTGTCCTCTTGTTCAGTTGTTTTGGAAGGCATTTTCTGAGCGATGGGGAAAACATATTGGGTTGAGAAATACTATATCTGATTAAACAATTCTGTTGGGAGATCCACATGAGTCATTGTTGCCTATTTTTTATTATTGGTAACTAAGCGTGTTATTTATATCTGCAAATGTAAAGAAAAAAATCCACATTTCAAACATCTTAAACAGTTTGTTCAAAATATTCAGAACACTGAACACTGTTATTGCCAACAAAAGGGAAATTAAATGCACATATTAAGAAATGGGGTAAATTTCTGACTGTATTGACTATGTAAAGGTATTTCATATGAGATTTATGTGAAACTGAAATGCATTTTTAAGAAACTTGACTCAATAAAAAAATACCTTAAATAAAAAAAAATTAAAAAAGGACAGGTATTCGGCGTAAGAATCTGCGCTATGACGGTATAAGGAGTATGTTCATCTCAACTTTTCTCATTTATTTTACGGCTTTTGTCTAGCTGTTGCTAGTGATAAGCTGTTCAAAGCGATTATTCATTGGTGGCGCGTCAACCTTTTGGTTCTCATTGTCGAGAACTAATAATCGAATAACACCCGTTTTACTTATGTATTCAATTTCATTATTGATATACTGGACGAAGTCTGCATAGGACATTTGTTGCAGGCAGCTTTCAGTTATATAGATCGGCGTGATACGGATATTTCCATAGTAGGAATAATGCACTTTGATCAACAATTCTGCCAGATCAGTCGGTCAGCTGGTTCTGTAAAATATCTCTAACTAACGTTCTTTACAATGCCACCACGTTATGCGCCCTTCTTACTGAAATAACATGTGACGCAAATTGAAGTAGGAAACTAAGTTGAGAGCCTCGGTCGTTTCGCTAATTTATCTGGATTCCTATGAAAAATTTTCAAAAATGGGCGCTTTTTAGAATTTTTGCGCATTTTTTGTTGTTGAAAACACGTCCTTCTTTATCGATAATTTTTTTAAATAGGAATGACTTCAGTTTCATGGTTAAATCATCACACAACAATTCTTGAATGATTTACTGTGATATTATGTTTTAACACTAACGAACTGGGATTTGTGGATCACGACATTCTTGATATGGAACTGTGAAAGCGTGCTCTCCGCGTTCCATGTGGGAGCGGTAAGCTACAGATAGGCGAATAGGATGGCGCGAACTCCGCACAGTTCGATACGCGTTACTTATCGTAAAGCGCAAAGGCCTCTGGGAAGGAGATTGAGGATGGCGGTCAATCTCCTTCTCAGAGGGCTTTGCGCTTTACGCAATAGTGCCTCTGCCACAGGCAGCCTTCAATTTTGTGGTCAATCACCTCACTACGCACGGCCATTTTTCTGTAGCTGTTACATCAGTGAAAACGTACTACAAAAGGTGAAAAAAAAACGTATGTGACATCCGAACTATTTATTAATGTCAGACTTCAGTAAAAACGTAAATACGAACCATTTTATCGCGGACTATGTTTTGCGAGGTAATGTTATGGTGGTGAAATGGCGCACGTGATACACTAAAACTTGGAGGAAAGAAACGTTCTGTTAACGAATATAGTTGGGAAAGAAACATTAAAGACTAATTTCACTGAAAGGGGTTTCCTAACATTTCCGTTCATCTTGTATTCTGGTAAATATTTCAATACTATTTCTGGCTTAAACGGATTCGATTTTCCGCGTCTAACAGTCATAGAACACAAAGGTTCTAAGTAAGTTTATAAAGTTATTTATTTATTGTACATTATAATGCTTTGGCATCTAGGAAATTATTGCAGTTTTCTAAAGCAAGTCTTGTATATTTTGTTCTAATCACTAAACATTTTATTCGGATTCAGGGCGTTAAACGTCTTATTAAAATGATTAAAGTAACCAAGTGACTTTCGCATAACTTTGTTAACCGCCAAAATCTTGTAGTTCGAACATATTCGAATATGCAAATGAGTTCTATGCAAATCTGCTTTGTGCAGTGATGATAAGTAACGCGTATCGAACTGTGCGGAGTTCGGATGGCGGTCTCATCACAGGGAGCCCAGGAACTATAATCAACTGTAATGCGCAGTCTCTATGAGCGGGGGGGGGGGGTTATCGGCTGGTATCTAGTGTAAGAAATAGACAAGGGATGAAGGCTCCAGCCAGCTCACATTTTTTAAACTCGAAAAAACAGACGAAAAAAATAAAAAATAAAATCTAAAAAAAATACCAGGTTCAAGAATATTAGTTGCTCCTTCGAATTTCGCCAAAGCCTTACCTACATTTTACCGATATCTGCAGAATAAATCAAGAAAACTACACAAATTGACTCCATT